CGTCATGGCTTGAGGGTGAGTAAATCATGGGGTCATTTTCATTTTTGGGTAAACTATCCCTTTAATCCCAAATGGTGACTTTTTTTTTTTGGCCAGGCAGTGTATGTGACATTCTAACTCTAGTACTCTCTATTCTAATTATATTCTTTAAAAAACAAAAACTTGCCCCTTTTAGACATGCACTCTACTCATTAACTAACAGCTTGTTTTCTTAAAAAAAAAAAACACTAGCTTCTCTATTCTTTTTGTATTCTATCTGTTTTCTTTTTATTTATTATACAATTAACAAATATTGCTACGTGTACTGCGTTAAGATAACTGAGACTTGTTATAGCACTTGCATATCATTGCTCTTTTGTTGTTTTTGATTGCTTCCATTGTCCTCATTTGTAAGTCACTTTGGAAAAAAAAGCTGTCCACTGGGCGTGGCACTGGGGGCGGAAAAAGCTTGCCAACTGGGAGATAATGAGAATGACTATAGAACTAGATGACAATCCTACAATCCTTTTAAAGGGGTTATCATTGTTTACAGTCGCATCCTCATCTCGGAAATTATGGGTCGCTCCCAGAAGTCATCACTGGTGGCGTTTCACTGCAAGTGGCACATTGACGTGACATGAGCCTCGCTGCTCAATTTCTGATTGGCTGTCTGTTGCCAAGCGTCCAGTAGCAACAAGCAAACACCGCTCCGTTTCACACTGAACAAACTTAGCACCGCAATGCGGGGTTGACACCGCAAATGCGGTGCTAACCGTTTCATAACCCCGGGTAAAAAGCGGTGCTAACAGTGCTTTCAAATTGCAGGTGTGAAACGTTTCTTTACCCGGGGTTAAAAGCGGTGTTTAGAATGATGATAACGGGTTAAGCGCAGTGTGAAAAGCCTAAATGATTGCAATTCATGTGATGCTATAATGTATAATTCTATAGGCATTATTTTATGTTGTGTTTATGTTCATGTGTCTGTTCCCAGTTTCTCCTTTAGGTTTAGCGTTCTTTGTTGTCCTAGTTAGTTTCCTTAGTTACTCATTATTGTCACCTGTGCCTCATTTAGTTTCCTCGTTATCTCTTGTGTAGTTACTATATCCCCCTGGTTCTGTTCAGTTCTTTGTCGGTTCTCGTCTTATGAAAATGTGGTTAGTGTTCTTTGGAACTGATTCTACGTCATGGCTTGAGGGTGAGTAAATCATGGGGTCATTTTCATTTTTGGGTAAACTATCCCTTTAATCCCAAATGGTGACTTTTTTTTTTTGGCCAGGCAGTGTATGTGACATTCTAACTCTAGTACTCTCTATTCTAATTATATTCTTTAAAAAACAAAAACTTGCCCCTTTTAGACATGCACTCTACTCATTAACTAACAGCTTGTTTTCTTAAAAATTTTTATTTATTATACAATTAACAAATATTGCTACGTGTACTGCGTTAAGCTAACTGAGACTTGTTATAGCACTTGCATATCATTGCTCTTTTGTTGTTTTTGATTGCTTCCATTGTCCTCATTTGTAAGTCACTTTGGAAAAAAAAGCTGTCCACTGGGCGTGGCACTGGGGGCGGAAAAAGCTTGCCAACTGGGAGATAATGAGAATGACTATAGAACTAGATGACAATCCTACAATCCTTTTAAAGGGGTCATGAACTGAGAAACCAAAATTCCCCTTGAGCTTTTGACATAAGCGGTCACTGTACTATAAAAACATCCTGCAAGTTTCAGAACTCAAAACTTTCTCGTTGGTCTAAAAACAGCTTATTTTGAAGGCAGTCTGCCAAAACGACAGCTTTTTGTTCTATTCTAACAGAGCGTTCTGATGCGATGGGTTATAAACCAGACAGAAAATAGCCTATTGCTTCTTAATTATGATGTTTTTTTAATATATATATAAATCTTGATAACATTATAAGTGGACTTCGGAGAACAGTACAAAATAAAAAACCAAGGCAGTTCATGACCACTTTAAGGCTCACATGGCTAAGTAAACAAATGGTAATAGGTTTTAATGGGTAAAAAAATACTGTTATTAAATAAAATCGTGTAAACTCTGTATTTATGAAGATTTTGAAAGAACTGGAGCCTGAAATGCATACGCATTCATAGACACGTATGAGCGTTTGTACTGTATCTATAATGGTGCTTGTCCACATTATTTATAAAACATACCCTGGATTTGGTCCTCCATTGTCAAGAATTTATGTAAATGAAAAAAAAGGGGTTTTGGTCCATTTTAGGACACAAAATAGCCATGAGTAAAAGTTTTAACGAACAGTTCTTAAAAAAAGTCGATAGAGAGTATAACCTCTTTCCCTGTTTTCCGCCACTCTTTGGATTTAACCGCAACAACAACAATAATAATAATAATATTTTATATTGTTCTAGTTGTTGCTTACAGCACATATGGCCCTGTAATAGTCCACAGTCACAGTGTGATGAGCCCAGAGGAACACAGTCACTGTGGCGCTACATTCATCAACACAAGCAAAAAACATCAGCATCTAAACATTTACTGTATACAGTACCAGATCTCTCTAAATAAAACAACCAACTAAATAAATGTCTAATTGTTAATTGTGGTGGATCCGGACAAAAATAATCTGCATTCACCATGTCATGACACCACGCGCATCTCTTTCCTGTGAGTATTTTAATCTTTTTGTGGCAAATCTCACATTTGTTGGATTCACAGTCATCACTGATCCAATCATGAACTCAACACTGGTGAAGGGGGGACAAAACAAGCCAAGCATGAACTTGCATTAAAGAAATAGTTCAACCAAAAATTTTAATTTGCTGAAAATGTACTCGCCCTCAGGCCATCCATGATGTAGATGAGTTTGTTTCTTCACTGGAACAGATTCAGAGAAATATAGCATTCCATCACTTGCTCAACAATGGATGCTCTGCAGTGAATGGGTGCCGTCAGAATGAGTCCAAACAGCTAATAAAAACATCTTGTGAAGCAAAAAGCTATGTGTTTCTTTAAAAAAATCATTAAAGGGGTCATATGATGCTGCTAAAAAGAACATTATTTTGTGTATTTGGTGTAATGAAATGTGTTTATGCGATTTAAAGTTAAAAAAACACATTATTTTCCACATACTGTACATTATTGTTTCTCCTCTATGCCCCGCCTTTTTGAAACGCGTCGATTTTTACAAAAC